GTTTTGATATTTATATTTATGATTTTTAAAAGCACAATGAGGCCTACATACGCCTCACAAAACATGAATTCATTATCACTGTATGTTTTGGAGCAATTGCACAGGGAGCCTGCAATTGATAAAGGAGGGCCGGGAATTGGGCGTTTATGAAAACCTGTGGGAACAGTGGAGAAAGCGAGAGGATAAACCATGAATGACATGACAACGGCAAAACAGGTCGCCACGGAGACAAACTGCCAGCTGTCGTCCAATGCCAGTCCCAGGATTTGACCAACGACGAGGGGTGAGGCGACTTTCCAGATCCGGGCTTATTGCCAATATCTCTAACGAGAGCAAAAATGGGCTGGGTCTGGGTCCGCTCAGATTAATTTCAATATCAATTTTCAATTTCAGAAGGCATTTTATTTACTTCCATAGAACACACAGAATATACAATACAATGGTTTAAAATAAAAACGTAAACAAGCTATTGAAGAAGGCATGATCCCGAGAAAACAAAGATCTTGTGATGGACATGCCTTAAATGAAATAAAGGTCGATACAAACATAAAAGAAGAAAGTCAATGAGAACACAAATAAACAAATAAGTGCAGAACCAAATAAACAAAGATGGAAATATAAAAATAAATAAATAAACAAACAAACAAACAAATGAAGCTCATATATATTGCAGAACATATTGAATCATGACTGAGGATAATTAATTTAACATTAGATGAAATTTCATTTTTGTATGTTCTTAGAGAAACAGCATTTAGAATTACGTTGTTGGGTCTGAGTATCTAATATTATGTCGAAAATAATTAGTGTTATGGATGTGAATATGAGTTTTATATCGATTGGTTTAATTATGAGTAGAGTGTTGGGAATAAACATATTGTATACATTTTTAGGAGATTACATAACAGAGAAAATAAATTTACTTTGCTGGACAAGAATAATGTCCGTCAGTTTGAAGGGATATAATTTGGAAATAAATGGGAAGAATGAGACCGTTGTGCGTCATCTATGATCCTGATAGCCTTTTTTTTTTTGGAGAATTTGGAGTTTGTTGATATCGGATAAATGTGTATTGGCCCAGACAATGTTACAGTAGCTCAGATAAGGAAGGATGAGGGTGCAGTAAAGAATACGGAGGATGTTATTGGGTAAAATGGCTAATCTAGAAATGTTACTAATGCTTTTGGATATTTTAAGTTAAGTTCCTAAACATGTTAGAGTATATTCTGAAAAAATCCATAGAAGGCTTTTCAGTTTAGGATATGAATAACTTTTTTAATTTATTCATTCATTTATTATTATTATTATTATTATTATTATTATTATTATTATTATTATTATCATTATCACTATTATTTAATATTATTATTATTATTATTATTATTATTATTCTAAGTTGTTTACATGGATGTTTTCCCTCCTTGAAAAATTGGATTGAGCTCCATAAACGGGAACTTGTTTCACCGTTCCATCTCCCTCACTCGGCCGCGCCCACCACACTCCTTCGCAGTGGCACCTCCACTGTTTCACACCAGCCTTAAAGTTTTAAGAATTGTTTTCGTTATTAATTTCTTTTGGTACTTAACGGGGGTTGGATTCTTTCTTGACCTTTAGCATCGGTTAGTGTTTATACCTCTATGGTTAGTGTGACGTGCTGCAAGTCTTTTACCAAGGTGCCCTTCTCGTTCCTCTGTAGTTGTGACGGTCTGTGTTTGTACAGAAGATATCAATTTGGTTTGAACAAACAGTAACTTGCCTCACAACGTGATAATAACGTCACGTTAATAGCAGATTTGTTGGAATTGATGATTTAAATTGGTCTCTTTGATGAACCTTCGTTCGATATAAACAAATTCATCTCTGACAAAAACTTGCAGCAGATTTATATTTCTGACTCTTCGTCACGTGTTTAAGATATAAAATTATCCAGGCCCGTACGCAGGAGAAGGGGTCGACTTGTGCAAAAAAAATAACCTAATGTACTAAGTAGCTGAAAAAAGATGTCAGCGCCAGAAGGTTCCCGACGAGGAGTCAGATTCCCTTTCCTTTTTTTTACCTCAGATCAACAATGGTTGGGGCTGAGGTCTATTTTCCCGGAAATGGCACATTCAGACTGTAAAGACACATCAAAGGGTCTTGGGTCCGAAGGTCCATTGGTCCGAAGGCCCGTTGGAATTAGTGACCCTTTTCCCAGGAATGCAGGTTCTACGGCAGTAAAACAATTCCTTTCAATGTATTAAGTAAATTAAGAAAGATTACTTTTCTAAAAC